AGCTTCTCCCCCTCCTATACCTCCTCTCTCCCGTATATCCCCACTCCTCGTCCTCCTCCACCACATTCTCCCCCTTCTTCTCCACCAGCTTCTCCCCCTCCTCTACTTCCTCCACATTCTCCCACTCTCCTCCACCTTCTCCCACCATCCTCTACATCTTCCCTTTCTACCTTCTCCCCCTCCTCTACCTCCTCTCTCCCGTATATCCCCACTCCTCGTCCTCCTCCACCACATTCTCCCCCTTCTCTACCTCCTCCTTCCTCTACCTCCTCTCCCTCCTTCTCCATCACTTTCTCCCCCTCCTCTACCTCCTCCGTCTTCTCCCACCATCCTCTACCTACTCCCTTTCTACCTTCTCCCTCTCCTCTACTTCCACCACCTCATTCGATCCGTGAATCGAAGCATTCGATCCGTGAATCGAATCATTCGATCCGTGAATCGAAGCATTCGATCCGTTAATTGAATCATTCGATCCGTGAATCGAATCATTCGATCCGTGAATCGAAGCATTCGATCCGTGAATGTTATATGTGATAAAATCAACCATAAAACAAAAAATCGAATGAAGCAAAATACATGCCAAAGCCGTGTGCGGTAGCCCTACTGATAGTTGCGTCGCTGTTTCACCGCTCGTTTCTACCGTTTCAACATGCCTAAACCCATAGAGATTCTATTATACACAGTGTATAATAGAATCTCTATGGCTAAACCGACCACGTTATGTGGATCCTATTGCAGGTACTAGCCACTGCCGATAGGTGGCCCTCATGCCAAACGTGAAACACGATCGCTGCGTGGCGTCGCACAAGAAAGAGCGTACAGTGCACGGCTGCAAACCACGCATGTGATCATGAGTGAGCGTTGAAAATGATTTTCACAGGTGTGTGCCTCGGGCCTTATGTATGCTCAGAAGACACGTGGTGAGAGTAGCGATCAGGCTTAGCACTTAGCACGTTCATCCCGTTTACTGGATGCTTCGCCTGATTTCATCGTTGTCTGCACCACGCGTTCCGCATTGTGGTCTGTCTCGGTCGTTAGGGTTGTCCCGACACAGGCTCTATATCCGTGCGGCAATAAGTAAGTAGGAGAGAGAGCGAGAGAGAAAGAGAGAGAGAAAGAGAGAGAGAGAGAGCAAAAGCGAAAGAGAGAGAGAGAGCGAGCGAGGTGGAGAGAGAGAGAAAGGTAAAGAGAGAGAGCGAGCGAGGTGGAGAGAGAGAGAAAGGTAAAGAGAGAGAGAGAGCGCGAACGAGAAAGAGAGAGAGTGTGAGAAAGAGAGAGAGAGAGAGCGCGAGCGAGGTGGAGAGAGAGAGAAAGGAAGAGAGAGAGAGAGTGCGAGCGAGGTGGAGAGAGAGAGAGAGAAAGGAAGAGAGAGAGAGCGCGCGATCAGCATTGCGGCGAGGGACTTTGCTCTAGCTCACAGGCTTCATCGCAGCAGCAGCAGCAGCAGCACAGCTCGTCTGAGGAGAGCTGAAGAGTTCGTCTGATTGCTGTGCTGTTCATTCCCCGCGTCTTCATTCTCGTGAGGAGACGGTGAATGGTCGCGTTTTCCAGCTAATCGTGTTTGCAGATCAAACATGGACGTAACGGCGGCTCTGTTTGATCAAACATGGACGTAACGGCGGCTCTGTTTGATCAAACATGGACGTAACGGCGGCTCTGTTTGATCAAACATGGATGTAACAGCGGCTCTGTTTGATCAAACATGGACGTAGCGGCGGCTCTGTTTGATCAAACATGGAGATAACAGCGGTTCTGCTTGTCGCGTGTCTGTGGTGATGAGGACCCCGCGTTACGCAAAACATGGAACGATTTCATCAGGCATATTCACATCTGAAGGAGGCAACAAGAAAGGTTAGGAAAAGAAATAAGAGGCTCTACGATAGAAAGGCGAGAGCTCACGAATTCAAGGTTGGGGACGCGGTATATTACCACGATCCAACACTGAAGCCAGACACAACTCCGGAGCTAGCATCTCCTTGGAAACCACATTTCACCGTTAGTAAAGTTATAACGCCCAAGAAATGTTTGCTGCAACATGAGACAACAAGACATATCCATGAGAAATATAAGAGAAATATCCATTTATACATCGGCTACTATGTCAGAAATCGAAACGGAGAAATCAGCGTTTTTCTGTTTTTCACAATGATTGATCGCCTGTGTGCAAAATGGGTAAACGTATGTGAAATATCTACTGTTAGTACTTACTGCGAAATATCCATGACTGACTGACACCACTAAATTGGTAATATGTTCCATGCACCTTGAGAAATTGTGAGAAATTACGAGGTTACCACCGCACTTTCATGCAAAACGCGCGTACGATGTGTACTGCATGCCGTTACTAAGCTATGTGTCAACAAACACGCGCCTAAATGCAATGTGTGTAACAAGGGAAACGGGGCTATTTTCGGTCGTGCGGCAATTTCAACTATCACTGGCAGATGACAGCTGTAGGAGGGTTGATGCTGAATGATACTGGTTTAGTGAATATCATGAAAATTCTGATTGTATTATGTCTCTGACGTCAACTGCTGCTCACTACACGTGTACGCGGGCAATCAAAATGCTCTAAAAGTTCACATGTACCGTTATATGGAGAAATGAGCATATACAGAGGTGGCACATAGTGTTCGAATAGCCATCGAATAAAGTCGAAAAAAAATCGGTAAAATTTTGCCTAAAACCTTGAGAGTACAACAGGACTCGCTTTGCGTCGAACAGCCAAGTGCCTTGGTAGGAGTGCACACCTACCAAGTTGCTGAAGCCCTGCAACGAGCTCAAATCAGTAATTAGATGAACTACTAATGATATTTCTGTCATAAACCACTCCTACACACATACAACAACAAACTGCTGCAGCATAGGAGAACTACTGCAGGAGCAGTATTGTCTCGAACACTGAGAGCTCATAGCACTTCGTTATTTTAGTCTTCGTTTATTTTTTATTATTCTGTTTTGTTCTTTCCAGCCGTACTACAGTACTACAGCAGGAGTACTATATAGAGATATTATATCATGGATTTAACTGATTATGCGTTAGCGTTGTTTCTAAAGCACGACCGATAAGTGCAATAACATTGTCAACGCAGACTTCATCTCTTGTCTCATCCAAACCATAAATCTTATATCGGGAACGATAATTGGGTAATCTCGCCGATAAAGAAATTTCGCTACCCACCTATATAGCACCAGGCAACCCAACCACTAACCCCCCATTGCATATTCCAGATCAAATTATATTGTAAGATCGTGCGCAGACTCTAACTGATTTGGTATTTTCAGGCACAAGCGTCAATAACGGCATGTTTTTTAATTTCCAATTTGAACTCACAATACAACATGTTAAATTTTATGTGATGATTTCAATTGTGTTTACTTTTAAACGTATTACAGTTTATGTATTGATTTTATTTTTTGTTTAATCCTACTTTCGACGTGTTACACGTTTATCTCATGCTTGCATTTTTAGTTTAATTAAAACTTCGTTCTATCTATGTATATTTTTTATGTATATGTATATTTCTTTACCTTGTAATTTTGTGTGTGTAACTACGTGATTACGGTTTCTTATACATGTATAACTTGTTCAAAGGCGTTCTTATATCACCTTCAATTTTGTTTGTTTTTCGATTTTTTGTTTACGATATTCACGATTAGTGAATAATCCTATGTTTATGAGTTTTTAACAGCATTTCCGTCTCGTCACTACTTGTGCTAACACCGTCGATGCAAACTACAACAATGCGACCATACTCAAACGACTCTAACCGTGGAAACCTCCAGCATCCGCCATTACGCTGCTGTTGAGTATTATCCGTGTGACTCGCTACCTTGCATCGTGCGTCGCATTATAACGCTCACGATGTCTAATCGTTCTCTACTCTTCCACCAAGTCCTTACCACACCAGTTAACAGCCGATCATGGATCACTACTTCCTTCGACGCCCCAACGAGGACCCAACCGCCCAGGGGGAGCCACCCCACAAACGGTTTTGTGCGGACCAGGCCACCGTCCCCACCAACAATGGGCCGATGACTACCACAACGACGACTACTACCACGACCAGGACCCCCACCGCCCGCCATACGGGATGCCACTGCCACCGCCTACTGGACGCTGTTCCCGCACCTGTGCTGTTCCATTCCACCGGTCGGCCCCCGTCTCCGAGGCCACGCCTCATATATGGCGGGGCGCCGGGACGCACATACTGTAAGTGGAACACCTTCCTCGATGATGTGCTTCGCTTCCGGCGGCTCAACCCTGGATTGACGGTGGTGCACCTCGATGACACCACCGCCATCCAGATAGTTCTAATAGAGGAGGCTCTACTTCCCGGTGTTGCGCTGCAACACCAGTAATGGCGCCAGCGCACCCACAACGACGACACGGACCACGGACCACGGATGACCACGGACCACGGATGACCACGACGGACGACCATGGCACGGACCACTACCACAACGACGGCACGGACCACGGACCACGAATGACCACGACGGACGACCACCACCACAACCACGGCACGGACCCCCGCCACAACCACAAGCAACGATGACGACGACGACAGCGACGACGCGAGATTTTTTTTAACAAAACAAAAAACAAATAAAATATTTTTTAGTTAAGGCCAATTTTAGTTAGGTTTAGTTAAGTTTTTCTGTAACATCAATATAATAAAAATATACAATTGAGTCATACTGAGCAACCTTTTAAATGAAAGATATACATAAACGTACAAAACTAACCTTTAAGTTGTTCGCTATAAGATAATAGCTCACAACTTTTCATAGGTAAGAGGGTAATGTAATGAAGCAAATTCAGTCATAATTAGTAATTAGAAATTACATTGGTAGACTCGGTGTCAGGCACTGGCCGCGGGGGACCCGCCTCATTAGTGTCAAAAGACTAGGCCAGTGGTCAGATAACCCCCCTTATCTTTGGAATGTGTGAACGCTGGCCTTATTTTGTGGGCTAGTTAGCCTCGGAATGTGTCCAAACCCGTGGCACTACTTAAGTCACGTGGTATGGGTTAAAGCAGTATAAATAGAGCCCCTTTTGAACAGAAAGGTAGAGCCCAGAGTCGCTTGTCCAGATGGGAGTATAGTTTTACCTAGCGTTGACTTGTTTATCTTGTACTGTTTGCATATGTGTTTAAACTCTATTGAACGATAGTATTTGTCTGTAAACTACTTTGAGTCTGTAAACTATCTTGAGAATTGTGTAGGTGTATCGTCTAGTTACGACAACGAACGTGTACGTGACATTTGCCCCTAGAGGGTTTATAGCATTCTCTGCACTACTCGGTGAGAGACAAAAGAACATTTGTTGTACGTTACACTTTGTGTTTATCATGCGTGTTTCCACGTCTGTCTATTAATCGTGTTACCTAAGGGTATTTATTACCCCGTGCCAAATGACACGAACCTGATACACTATATACGGTTATAGCTGCATTTAAGTGCATTTAAGTGGGACTGGCTACTACGTAGCTAACAAAATGTACGTTAGCAACCATCAAACGCTGCAGCGTCATCGCTGACATTATGCTTCCAATCTCGGCCACCAGGGCGCTAATTAAAAACATAATGTTCAGCGTTACAGGGACAGCCTGGGGTATCGTCAGCGGCCACGGCTCATTGATCGTGACCAGCGAGAAGATTACAGAGCGAGCAGCGTTTATTATTGTCAACGCAGCAAACACGCCGTTAGCAAAGGCGAGACGGCGACCATGGATCACAAGTGGATGCAGCCCCTCGGCGTTCGCTACGCTGGCCTTCCAACCGACGACACCGGCGGCAACGCTCAGCGGCCCCTCTATGATGTTGATGGAGAACAAGAAAATGACGAAGCCGGTGTAGATAGAGAAGTCGATCGTCGTGAAGTCGTAATGCTCGTAGACGCCCCACAGAATGATGAAGATGATTGTGATCATTGTCATGGCGATGCCCGATCCCAGCTGCATTCCGGTGCGGGGCCGAAGCTCTGTGCACGAGCAAAATTCTAATATGCTTATCGAAATTTATTTTTAATACTGCAAACACCGCTAGAAAAACGATTTCATGCACCAGTTAATAATGAGTGAACCGTGAACAGTTCTAATTCTTTAACAATGCTGAGCTCCATGACATTTTGAGATTTCATTAACCTATATCCCCTGCAACAGCGCTAGTAGAATCGGCTACACTACTTTACCGGCTCAAGGATATAAGAGCTGTTCAGATTTGCACATGTCACACACTGCGAAAATGCATTGGGGACAGCTCTTACATCCATGAACCACTTTACCTGCATGCAAGTCCGCAACCGACGGCCGATCCGGCTGAACGAGTAGGCCTGACACTGACATGTTTGCTGTAAATAATAAACACGTCTATGAATTGCAATAGTAAAATTATTGGTATTTCAGGTAATGTGAAACATCTCATGCACACGACCTAAACAAAA